GTTGGAAAAGTGGGGGTCGTCTTGTACATGGGGGTGTCTTATTGTCGGAAAAATACGGTAGATTACATAGCTTAGATATCATCCATCTTTCCTTCCCAACCTTTTTATTTGCTTTTGTTATCTTGCTGATGAAGAATTGTAGCCTAATAATCATATTAGTGTTATATAGTCTTGATTTTTCTTAAGCCTAACACAAGACAGCTATGTTTGTTTCTTATATTTCATTCAGTAGGTTGAATTCACCAAGTGGTTGAGAAATCGTCACCGTGAATTCTTCTGTGTTTGTACCTGAAGGGTAGCTAAATTCAAGGCAAACAAGCAACTAACTTATAGTTCAGGATTCTAGCTAGCCGGTTATATATTCCTCCAGTACCTTCTATATGTAATTTGTGAGAATTAGTGAAACTGCTCGTTCCTAAAAGGTTAAGCCTTTACTTTATTAGTAATGGATTTAAGCATGATTAAGATCTGATTCTTATTTAATTTAGAGTTTCTGGTTTTCTCTTGTTGCATATGCATTTCTAAACAGTAGTGTATATCGTATTCTCATAGAGCACAAATGCAGCGTTTGCAACCTGAGGTGCTTGGCTTGCCTTAAATGAGATTGAAAAAGTTAATCGGGGCAGATCTGGTTAGTATTTGGATCATAGACTGCTTGAAAATCCCACATCTTAGATTAGACTAGAAAGTCAAAGAAACATCCAGAAGACAGGAGAAACCACATCCATCTTTTTGCAGAGCAAACTTCTGTGTGGTCACCAGGAATCACATTCAGCATGAAGGTCCTTTATTTTAAATCCCTTGGTTTTTGAAGATGCACCAGAACATTTTGTCACTGCTGTACCTCACTCAGTCTCTTAACTCACATAGACCTCACTTTCTGACAGATAATAGCTAAGTTCTGCTAGCAGAATGGAAAGATTGAATGGAAAACTAGTATACTATGTATTCTCCTGTTGCATCACTGATGCTAGATACTCCAAATTGCAGTCTGCAGTTCTGAAGTTTTAATTCAGTAGTCTTTAATCACCAAGGTCTTGATGAGAACAACTTATAAAATGTAAATGTTGCATTATTTTTTTCCCCGGATTCACTTATTTTTTCTCTTTAATAGGGTCTCCGCTTTGAAGTTGTTCCATCTTGGTTCAAAGAAACTCTTGACAAGGCTACTTTTTCAGCCCCGTATCAATATGCTATAGAAACTGCAAAACAGAAGGCACTTGAAGTAGCAAAAAGAATGCATGTGGTAAGCCTAATAATTCCATATTAGGGCTAATTTTTTTTATTGATGGGGTCTGGTTTGTTTCTTGCATTGATTTATTAACATGTTTCTTCTTATATCCCTGTTTTGATATCAAATAACAGGAAAAGTACTACATCCTTTAGTAGAAAGCCAATTGTTGATAAGGGTGGGTGAAATGGTGGGTCTATCATCCAATTAATGTATGCTCTATTCTGCCCATATAGGAAATTGATGTTTATAGCCAAGGAGGATCTTGTTCACCATCATTATTTGTTATTAGTGCAAACTTTACATTTGGCAGTTTCTGTTAAATATAAAACATGGAGCCACTGGTTGAAACATTGGACTTGGGACTTCCTGGAGAAGATGGTGGACTGAAGACAGTTCCGTGTAAAGTGGGGCCGACATCTGCAGACTTTAATAAGGAGCCAGTTAACATATCAGCTCCTACAATCCTCTCTGGATGAAAGAGAGGGCGAGATTGCCCAAGCTGTTTCCCCTTACGACTGTTTGTTTTCCTAATGGAGGGACCACAACACAGCAATCTCAGGTGGTTGTGGGAAATTGGGAGACAGGGGAATTCTCCATAATTGCTCAAGCTGCAAATGGAGCCTTTTTTCAAGGACACTAAGTTTGTACTTCCCTTGCTAACTACTTTATAATTACCTGTTAACTGTTTCAAAGAATGTGCAAAGTGACAAGGCTGGAAATAGCCATTGAGTGCCATCAATCCTTAATATAAGAGCATGAAGATTTATTTTTATAAATTTTAAGAACTTAAACAGCAAAAAGCAAGACAAGGTTTTGGCTATAAAAAGTTTTTAAACAGTTTCTGCTTTTCTGCTAATCTGCTTGTGCAGATTAAGGGCTCAGAAAGCGTTGGAAATCAGACTTTGAATATTAAGACTCTGAAATTACTCTTAAAGAATAATTGC